TATTTTATATATTATTTTTGTCCTGACCAATTTTTAATTAATGAGCCTGTAATATTTTCTGGGTATTTTATATTCATTTTGAAATACTCTTTTTCTTGTAACATTAAGAAACTTTATGAATCATTTTATTTTAATATTAATTCATATTAAACATATAAATTAAATTTACATGTTTAACTATTGAATAAAATATATAAAAATAGCACTTTTAAATATAAAGCTGAATGCATACAAATTTTTATTGAATAGTTGAAATTTAATAATGAAAATAACAAAATACCAACCTGAAAGCTTACAGTTTCCAATTAAATATTTCCTATTAAAAAAAAAAAAGATTTTATAAATATTTCATTTATCCATTAAAAAATCATAACTTAAAAAGTTACATCATCTATAAGATAAAGAATGAGTTGTCTAATGTTCATTCATTAGACACGACCCCGCTTATAAGACAAAACATGACTACGGAATATCGGTCTTTTATGTTATTCTTAGGCGTGACTTAAAACTCCCATGTGACATCATGTACTTTCTCCTCTTACTTAAATAAATATAATCTTATGACTATGCCGTAATTATTTTCTAACACGTTTATTAAGACAAATAAAGAAATCGAACTATTTTATGAATAAAACTCAAAATCTCTCCATGATTTTTACCTCTGATCTTTTGACAAATATGTGATCAACGTCTTTGTTTACATTTCTAAACTGTTATTTAATTTACAGAAATTATTTCAAAAAAAATAAATAAACTTCTTTCTAATCTTTCTTTCTCGCCATCCCGCACCACTCACAATCACCACAACGGACGGAATAAAACAGCGACCCCTGGAAGAAAAAGATGAAGATGAAAATTATAACATCGAGTCGAAAAAAAAAAAAAAAAAAAAATCGATAGCTTCTCCGAAATTGTTTTCTTGTGAAAAGTATAAATCATTTAAGCAATTAATAAAATGAAAGTACTTCAGAATAATTATATTTAATATGAGTAATATTAATGTTTAAAGAATAAAATACATTAATAAAAGTGGAATTTTGTAAATGTTTCCTTCTTTATCGATTTCTTCTCAAAATCGAATACTGCACTAAGAATGAGTTATTTAACAGAAAATAAAAATATAAACAAAAAGTGCCAAAATAACTGGTCCTAGATAATTATTGATTCAAACCACGAAATCCAGTAGTGAACTGAGACGTGAGTTAGAAATTTGTCGTATATGTTTTTTTTTTTTTTTTTCCTTCTTTTTTTTTAAATTTGATTAAAGTTTCTTTAATGTTTCGCTGATAAATCAGACGTAAAAGTTTCTCAGAAACAGAATTTTCGTCATAAAGTATTTAATTGTTATGATAGGAAAAATTCCAAATATCAAATTTCACATTTCTTTATCGGTATTTTGAATTCGATATGTCTATTTTATCGATTGAAAATCTACTATTGTCTTTCCCAGAATAAGAATGGAGTCGGTGTTCATTATTCCGCATACATGAAGGAAAATAGTTCTATGTCATTACAGTGGAGAATATTATTTATACAAAACATAATTATATTAGAAAAATTTAAGTTATATGTAAACTGTTATAATCTATTCGGAATTTCCGTCTTTTTTGCAAAAATTATTTTAATAATCTCAAAATTTATTTTAAAAAAAGGAGAGAGGAAGAGAGAGAGAGAGATGACGTCATATGATGCATTGATTGAATTTTCGAAAGTTTTCCGAAAATTTCCGAGTCACATTTCAAAGAAATATTGTTGCTTACAAGTTAGCTGCAAGGGTGGATTGATGCCACTCAACGAACTAGAATATTCTACACAGACTGGCTACAGCAATGCCATGTTTAAAGAAAATTGAATACACTACCACCATTTCCTTTTTAGTCAAGGGATGTGCCATTTGTGTCGTGTAAAGACAGTAACCTAGAGTATTCTAACTCGTTGTGTAAAATTGTGCAAAGGAAAGTAAGCGTTTTAATGTGTAAGTTTCAATTATATTTCTGCAGACATCTTTTGAGTTTTGCTTCTTCCTTCCATAACTATTTTAATCTGTAAAGAGGAAAGAATTACATTTGTTACTTCAAAATGAGCAAAAGTAAAACTAAAAAAATATCTTCTCTCGAAAATTTTATCTGATATTACAAACAAAAACTTAAAACGATTTAATTTAATAAATTTTATACCTGAATAATTAGCAAATAAGTATTGATGGAATTGCGTTGCATGCATAAAATATTAGAAAATAATTTAAATTAAGAATTTAAAATCCTGAAAGATACTTTACTGTACATCGTCACCTGTTAAAAATTCATCAAAAATTCTCTAGAAAGAAATGAAAAAATACTTAAAGCATTTTTAAATTTTAGAAATCATATAATTAACACAATTGATTAAATTTAAAAATAATTGAATTTAATTTATTTGTTGTTAGAGATGGTTATTTGATTCAGGTTCACAAGGAAGCATTTTTATCAAAATAATAATTTGCACTGGAAATTAGAAATAGAATATCTAAGTATGTGAAAGTTTTTGCTTTATGATGACATTCAATTGCTATCCAAATGTTCGTTTACAAAAGATTCCTTAACACTTTTCTCCTTTAGCAAATAGTAACATTTGACAGTAGAAGTTTACAATAGCTATTGTAACTTCAAAGAGAAGACTTCAATCATTATTGAAGTCTTCTCTTATTCTCATAACTGTCGTTTAGTCTTCGGCCCGTGAACCGGACCGAAGACTAAATGACAGCTTATCAGTAAGATGCCAGGATACTTTAAGCACATGCTTTCTTTACATCAGTAGTGATGTCGACGACATATAGGCCGATTATTTCATTTTGAATCTGTGGTGACATGTAAGTGTCATGTTTTGCGCCCTTTTCTATATGCTCTTTTAAAATGTGATCACCAGTGTCAATTTTGAGTTTGATCAAGTCTTCAAAAACACCTTCATGGTTTTGCTCTCAAAGGTAAGTCATGTGTACCACAAAAACATCACAGACGAAATTATTGACGCAACAATTTTCTTGTTAGCTTCTATTTTTTGTTGGTGGACAGAAATCAGCTGTAGATAAACGGGTATATTTTCAACAAAACATTTCGCTGCTGTGGCCGCCGATTTGTGCCACTGAGATGACGTGTGAGATTTAGCGAATTCGTGCATGTTTTTATAGCGAGTAAAGGGCCTCACTATGAAAGAACCCAAAACACCACTTACGTTAGTTGGTGGAAACAACACACAGTAACTGCACAACGCGCCTTTTAATTTCTTGGAATACACCAGCCAAGGAGCATAATCCGCCAACCAGCTGTATTTGAATTTTCTTTTTAATTGCACAGCATCCTTAGCAACGTCATTACTTGGAGTTGGTCAACTTCATTGACCTCATCTCAAAATATGATTTTGAGATGAGGTGATACTAAACGAACGTCCAAGCCAGTGACCCACATCATTATCAAAATACGTTTGATCCTGTGCACCAGAACCATATGGTAGCGAAGATCCACTTTGTTTACTTAAAACAGCAATAGGTGCAGGTGTAGGTGCAGTTGTGCAAGTGACAATATTCTGCTTCGATTTCTCTTCTCCGCCGCTATCACTTTCGCTACTACGTTTAACTGGTTGATTCCTCTGATGTCTCTCTAAAAGAAAATAAATAACTACTACTACACTCCCCAAAACAATTAAAAGAACTAAGAATTTCAGCTTTTTAATGGACTCTCTACACTAGAATCTTCAATCTTAAAAAAAAAAAAAAAAAATTTAATATTTTGTACAAATTTGTTTTATTACTTGCAACTAGCAGAAGTAGCTAGTTGCAAAATCAACCATTTCAAAACCATCTAATTAAACAAAACTTCTGCAAAAGTAGCTAATTACAACTTTCAATCGTTATTTAAAATTATTGGAGTGTGTTATACTTGTTATTATTTCTTTATTTAGTATTGTATGGATTTTCTTAAAATTTCAATAATAAAGACAACATCAAAATTACTATTACAAACAAAAAAACAGTCTTCGCATTTCCTGAAGATTTTCGGTTGCTTTAATTAGATTGTTTTGCAACTCATCGACTCAAATGAAAATAATATAGATACATACCTTTCGTGCTAAAAATGTATCTAATATCCATTTTAGATTGCTATTGTTACAAGATTGCGGTCCAAAAATTAAATAAACGCGCGAAAAATGTTAACGGATTGATTAAAACACTTACAACATACAATAGAAGTAAATACGGCACTTATTAATTTAAAATAACGTAATAAATCCAGTATTGCACATGGACGCAACGACGTTTCAAATAAAACTCGCTCGAGGTATGATCTGAACAAGCTCAAATGCGTCAACTCACTCAACTAACTCACTCTCACTGATTGCAGCGCTTAAATAGGGGACAGGTACAAGAACTTTACCGCTAAATCCGAACCTCGAACATTCTATAATGTATAATCTTTGTCTTACCACAGACCATCCAGACTAGGGGTCCCCAAACTTTTTATCCCATTGACCCCTTTATAGAATATTTGCCTTCTTGTCGACCTCCAGATTAAGTATTTTACAAAACATTAAATAATTTTTTTGCGTTTCTGATATTAAGCAATAAGAAGACCTGCATAACAACCCAACGAAATAATTTATAGTTCCCATATCTTATAAAATTTACCCAACATTAACAGAAAAAGGAGATATTTTTCACTGATTTATAATCTTAAAAAAATAATAGCAAAATTATAGATAGATGGAAATTTACCTATAATTCTTAAACCGTACGTGCCATAATACGTAAAATACACAATTATCTTTGAAAACATAAGTTATATTGGATGAAAAACCTTTTACTGTCATTTTGCGACTACTACTGAATACCTTAAAATATGTTAACATACCTTTTTATAAAAATACTTGATATTAGTGGGATGGATGTGTCTGAAGAGTAGCAGCAAGATTATGGATATTCGGTTGAAAATTGGTAAGTTTTAGTCGCAAATCACCGCGGTTTTCCAAGTTCAATCTGTTCCTCTGTTTTGTCAAAATTGCGTTCGCGTGGCTAAAACCAGCTTCAACCATATATGAAGTTGGGAATGCGAGTAAGAAAGGTTCGGCTTCTGCTCTGAGCTTGGGATATTTAGTGGCAATATTGTTATTGCTCCAAAATTCACTGAGGTTTTTATTTTTAAACAACGCTTTAGCTTCGAGATCTACACATATTTCACTCAGTTCATCTTCTAAGCCAGGTTCACTACCTTCATTATCTATTTTTACATCAAATGGATTAGCAAACCATTCGGGAACATGCATATTCTCCAAGTCTTCGAAACGTGCTTTAAAGTCTTCTCTTAATTTATCAAGATGTTTAATATATATCTCCAAATCACGGTCGGAAATCTTTTCATTTTCTTTTAGTACTCGCAAGTTTGAAAAATATTTAAAATCGGATCGTGCCAGTGAAGATTTAAATAGCTCCATTTTTACTTGAAAGGCCATTATGATTGTTCGAGCTTGAACAATTGTAACGTTTTTTCCTTGCAAACGCTTCTGTACTATATTAAATTTCGAATAAAGGTCTGCCAAATAAAACAGATGGTTCTTGCACTGTTTTAACTGGTCACATAGTGATGGATCCACATTTCTAAGAAACTCTTCAGCTGAGTCGTACAAGTCAACAAGCCTCTGCAAACTATCACCTCTTGACAACCACCTTACCTCGGTGTGCAAAAGTAATTGGTTGAAAGTGTCATCATTTTCTTCACATAACTTCGCAAACAGTCTGGAATTGAGAGGATGAGCTTTAATTTTATTTATTGACCTGATGCACACTTTTAGAGTATCATGAAGTTCGCCACTCAGTTTTTTGGCTACAAGATGCTGCCTGTGTAGGACACAGTGAACAGTATGTACTTTGGGAACCTTTTTCTTCAGAAAGACGAAAAATCCTCTGTAACGGCCTACCATAGCAGGTGCACCGTCAGTAGCTACTGCGGTAATATTCCCGAAAGGAATGTTGTGCTTGTTCAAATAATCTTGCAAACATAAAAAAATTGTCTCACCTTTTGAATCAGTTTCAAGATATTTAGCAAATAGAAATTCATCAACAGTGTCATTCAGGGATGGACTATGAAATCTAACATAAGCCATGAGAAGATTTGAACTTCCGAAAGTTGATTCGTCAAGTTGAATAGCAAACTTACAATGCTGGAGCTCAGAGGTCAAAGTTCTTTCCACATCATCGGCCATTTCCTCGATACGTCGTTGCACAGTATTGGCACTTAATGGTATGCATTTTAAAACTAGTTGGGAGTCTTTCTTCATAACATTTTCAATTACATCTTTTATAGCTGGTATTATAATCTCTTCACCAATAGTATACGGTTTGCCTTTCTTTGCAATATTAAGAGAGATGCTGTAGGATGTCTTCAGTCCTCCTTCTCTATCAACACTAGCGGATGACTTCAAATATGTATTCAAATTTGGCCGAACTCTCAATTTCTCTTTTAGTATTTTGAAATACTCAAAATCTTTGTTTTTCTTGTCAGAATGGATCCTTTCCAAGTGGTCTTTCATTTTCGCCGGCTTCATAGCATCATTGCTGAAAGTTTTTTCACATAATAAGCACATAGGAATAGTTTCATTAGCAAACGATGGCACAAAACCATATTTCAAATACTCCTGTGAATATTGTCTGCATTTCTTCTTAGCATTGTTAGCCGACATTGTGATATTAAATTAAAATCAGATTTTTAATATGAAAAACACAATACGTTTGTAGCACAACAAAACAGCAGCAATAACTTCGCTTATCCGACCTTAGGCGAACTTATTTCTCCCGCCTAAACTCTATCTTTTTATATGGATTGAAGATAGCGCTGATTGACCAATCAGCGCTTCGTAGCGCTCTGGTCGGTCCGCAGGTGGTCCGATGCTCGGCGGCCAATCATCTATCCTGCTTTCAAAACTAACGGTCGTTTCCCGATCCGAGTTTCTATGGCGACAACCATTGCTCGTTTGAAAAAGAGAAAAAGCGCGGGAAACGTACGTCCAGACGATTCCATCCCGACACCGCCTTTTGCTAACAATAGATATTTAGAATTGGAAGGAATTATAATTATTCTAAACTATTAAACTAAAGATATTAATAAATGTACGTGATTTTATCATATGAACATAATGATAATTTGATTTTTGGTGAATTTTTTAAAATAATATCGCCTGACTGACCTATATTGCCGTTGGACAGTTTACGAAATAAACGTAAACAAGATGGCGATGGTAAAGGGTTGAAATCGACCCCCTTTCGACCCTCGTGTATTAATCGACCCCTGGAGACCTCTAATCGACCCCAAGGGGTCGATATCGACCACTTTGGGGACCCCTAATCCAGACCTTGAACCGCCAGTTTCCCACTCGTTCACCAGAGAGCGCTTCTGTCACCAACCAACATGATAGCGTCTTCCCTCCACGATTCGAACATGCTTTCTTACCGCGAAATACTATTATAACCTACTGACCTATAATTCTTTGTTTGACTAAATGAGCCAGAGTGACGCTGCCCCACCCTGCCCACCGTGGCTACGCCCCTGGGCCTGGGGCAACTAATATTTTAGGGAAATTGTGTGGGCGCAAAGAAAGGGGCGGGGCCTTTAACGTCATCGAGTCAACTAGCGTACGTTTGCTAGAGTTTTGCTCTCGCAAAGCTGTAGTTTGCGGCGGCTCTTAGTATCGTAAAACACAGCACAGAACTGACTGAACAGGTCTCGTTCTCTACTTTTATACTCTTGCTGGGAGCTGGGATTCATAGATGGAGGAAGAGGTAAGTTTTAAGTGTGGGTGTGTGTAGTGATTAGCCAGAAGAGCATCCTATCCAGACTGGGGTTTGTTAGGGTGATATACTTCTAGCCAATCAGGACTGGCTCATATCTCTCAATCCTCTCTAACTCCTACTGAAATTTAGAATTTAATTTTATAAATGATAAAATTTAGCAAATCGCTTTGTATTTCCTAAAACTGTTACCCAATTTCGTGACCACTCTATAGTCACCTGCAATCGCTCATGCCACTTCTCTGGTGTGAAGTCCCTTCAACCAGAGTTGCCAGATTAGCTCTTTTAATGTCAAATTTCGAGAAATCGGCTTTTTGTGAGGTTGGTTCTTTGGCTCTTTGTTTTGCATGTATGAAAATTCATAAAAACATTGCTTTTCTGCAAACCAGGATAGAAAACTTTTGCATTTCATATACATAATACTTTATTCTTCCCCTGCTTTCATTTCCAGCATCCATTTTTTATGATGCAGATTTTGGTAAGTGTCCTCTGCTGAATCGTTTTTAGCTTCAGGAACTTTTATAATTTTATTTTTCGTGGATATCTGAAAGTTATGTTCATTATCTGAAGTTGACTGATCAGTTTTCTCTATCGCAATATATTTAAATAATTCTTTTGATAAGACCCCGATAAGTTTAGATGCAGTACAGTAATACCTCGACTTACGCTACCCCGACTTACGCGAACTCGGAGTTACGCGATTTTCAAATCTCGTCGATTCGTCTTTTGTTTGAGCGCCACGCAACTCTCGATTACTCACTCCCCACACACTATTGTTCAGCTTACATCTTCGGACGTGTCGCGTGGAATCGACACATAGCTACAATTTATTTTGTGTTATTTATTTCTGTGTTTGTTATATCTACGGAGACTCGAGAGACTCTATGTGGTGATTTCTTGTAACCGTGAACGAATCAAAAGAAGAGATAAGATTAACGAGAACATTTATTAGCTTATATACAACCGAATTCGACTTAAGCGGTTATCGCTCGGTCCCACCTATCGCGTAAGTTCGGGGTATTACTGTATATAATAGTTTGGTTTTTTCTAGTTATTTTATATTGCTTTTTGGCTCTTCTTAACATTTAAATCTGCAACTGACCCAACAAATCAGATGATCACATGTTACACTATTTGTATAAACAGGAAAATAATGTGATGTGTAGTGAAGAATGTAAATCGTGAAAATGAATGAAAGAATGGTCAAATTAGCTTTTGTTTGTATTTGGAAATTAGACTTTTTTGGTCGAGATCGGGGATTTAGTCGTAAATAAAAAAAAGATCCTGAGCGTCATTCTGGCTTTCTAAAACGTTCTGAAGCGGCGATCCGGCATGACTACATCACTAGTCGACATTAATATTCAGAAACGTAAGATTTGTATATCAAGAGAAAGATAAAGTCTGGAGAGAAAAGTTTTCCGGTCAATGTGTGGTTGATCCATTAAATTTTTGGTAACAATTCAAAGAACCAATCGAAAGGACATATAACTCGCCTATCCTCCAGGAAAAATTTGTGAAAGGAGAGTGGAGAGACATCTCAAAATAATTGAAGATAAATAAAAATGATATCAGAACTCTGTCCTCGCAACTTCAAAGAACTTTTGCTGCTTCTTACAAACCGATCCATAGGAATCAAACGACCGAAATTATAAATTTTTATCTTTACTACTTCGGACATGTCCTTTACCTTGTCTATCCGTCTGAAAGAGTAAATCCCAACATTTATTCACCAATTTCAGCTTGAAATATCTCTTTTGTACGCTGCCAAAATCAGGTATTTATGTCTGGAGAAATCTCGAGTCGCTGGTTTCCGAACATCTCTCTGACCCCATAATTCACTTGTGAATGTGTAAAATTGCATTGTCTTAAAAATAAGAGGATAAAACAATATAGTTAGTTAAATGTAATTTTGCTCTTAAAAAGAGAGTTTGCCTCCCTTTGCTTCTTTCAATGGCTGTGCTCTTTTCCTTAAAAAAGATAAAAGCTCCAATCTCGCATGGATTGAGTTATCGATTTCCAATAACAAAGGGAAAAAAAGCTGGTGTCATTCAGACTTTATGTTTATCATCATTATCTTTATAATAGATAAAAAGCCGTAATATTTCTAAAATATCATGGTTAAATTTCTTATTTGATTAATATCATTAAGACAATGGCGGGATGTTCAGGGAGGTCAAAGGCATCAGCCTGCCTCTCTCGAGATCCGGAATTGAATCCGAATAGTGCCGAGCATTAATCTAATATGGGTCTCATCGTGGCAGCCTACGGCTTAAGTTGTGATTAGTTATTTTTAAATTAGAAGTTATAAAACGCACGTTGTGACAAGCCGAATGACGACTCGCACTAACAATTCCACAGCGGCCCTCGTCCGAATCGAGGCCTGTCATTTCAAAATTTTAAATATCATTTGATAGTTTTCAAGCAGTTTCAAGTACAATTTCGAGTAGCACAGGATTTGTTTACGGCAACGCGACACGTGGACGATCTGCCGAGGAGAGATTGCACTCGGGAGGTCTTTCCTTATGGAAAACTGGTCTCTATTTAGGTGTTGAAAACGTGAAGAAAACCCGTAAAACTCCACGTGGCCAGATCGTTGGCGAACCCACGACCAACTATGATAATTACCAGTGTTCGAAGGTTTTATCCACTCGGCCACTGGTGAACACTTCAAGTAGCAAAGACCGCGTTTGCCATGAGCAATTGTAAAATATGTAAAGAGCATATTTTACAATTTAAAATGGCTCAAGGTATGCAAATAATGGAGTCAGAAATCTTAAGGAGCTACCTCTTTTTTTGCACCGGATTATTATAAAAATAATCCGGTGCAAAAATCTGTAAAACACCCAAAAAATAAACAAAACACACAAAATAAATTATCTATTCGGTAAAGTTCCCAACCAAATTTTCAAGATGTTCGTCTGTTTCTACACACTTTATGTTGTAAAACTACATACAGTTGGGTAAAACGTAACTGTTTGAGAGTTTTTTTTTTTTATCTGTAGATATTTAAATTTTTTTTATTTTTTATTGGTACAGGTCCAGAATATAAATATTTGTCAGTAGTTGGTGAAATCAGAATAACACTAGCTTAACATTTAAAAATAAAGTCAATCGAAGATGTTCAATTACAGAAACGTGTTTTAGAAAATTTTAGATTAAACCAGTTTGACAGGTTTAATTAATTTCCATTCTTACATTTATACAATTAGGATAATTACAATTATTGTTAACATTATATAGTTGGATGGTTTTATAACGCATTGCATCAGGAGAAAATAACTTTAAAGACAATCACAATGACTACAAATGTACTGTACAGTATATGACGTCAGAAGTCAGAATCGGAAAGTGAAACAAACAAGAATGTTTTAGCTAGCATTCGAATTTAAACAAAATAAATGTGTTTTTTTTTAATTTATAAAAAATTTACTGATAAGCTTTATATTTCAACAATAACAGTTTAAAGCATTCTTTTAAGCAGAATATTTTGTTTTATTATCCCCACTCAGTAAAATGCCATGAAAAAAAAAATGGCTAATTATAATCAAGAGAGTAAATTTCTATTGCACGATTGTAATTGAAATATTTTTACTTCTTTTGAAGATTGTTATTGCGCATATTATCGTAACAAAAATAATATACCACATTATTTTCTTGTTATATGCAGGCTTCCGGATTGTCTTCATGTGTGTAAGACCTAAATAGGAACCAGTTTCCCATAGAAAGTCTTCCCGGTAGGCACCCCCTTGACAGATCTCATCACACATTTTCACATATTTCTCCCTTCCTGCACTGAAATTGATTTTCTGGACTTCGCAATTAATATTTTATTATACAAATAACGGCTCAGGCCTCTGTCAACCCGGCTTTCACTTCCTCGGGTAGCCCTGCATGTTATGCATGACTTCTATGGTCTCAAATCTGAAACATGCCTTGATCCCATTGAAATAATTGAATATATATTTAAAATAATTCTGGCTTATAAAGATCAATTACTTCCCTGCATTATTACAGGATACATAAATAAGATAAATGCTTTTATTATAAAGTTTATGAAGTTTCTTCAATATAAAGATATAAATTTCCTATCAATTCATATTTTATAATGTATAATTAAGTTCATATTCGTTACAAAACTGTAAATATTGAATATTTCATTTGTATTCCGATTATTAGTTTACACTTTAGTGAATAAATTTCTAACATTAAATTAATACGAAAATTACGTGGAAAGGAATTATGTCTTACGAAGTGTGTGTCTAATTTAGGATAATATTACGAAATAACTATCACTTATCTTAAGTAGCATTTATTGGGATGATCACTTAAGCAGATTACATGAGAAATTAAAAGAACGAAGTTTGGAGAATTCAAATAAATATTTATTAAACTTGTAGACACCAGTTACATTAATTATTTGCAACAAACACTATTATATTCATTCTAAATATACTTATTAATTTTATTTGTGCCGCAATTTGTCGATAATTCACGTCAGACAGAAACAAACTGCGAGGTGCTCAGATGTATTTTCACTACAAATTCTTGTTTATTTGTTTTTAATTATCCGAAGCACGATATTCTTTTCAATTAGAATGCATGGGAGGCGTTCTGTTATTCACAATACGGGATGTGTTCAGAAACTTCATTCAAACGGCAGATTCATGGGAACACAACATAATCCACAGAATCTCTTCTAAATATTTGACCAATATAAAAATTTAGAAAGGTTTGAAAAAATTTATGAACACTCCCTTTTACTACAAACATATCGAGAAAATTATAAATTTGTTCCCTTTATTTTGACACAACTCTTTTTTTTCTTTATGAATTAAGATACACTGAACCCCTTTTAATGAAGAGGAAATCATTTTTTTTTTTTTTTTTTGGGCCNTTGTTGTTAGAGATGGTTATTTGATTCAGGTTCACAAGGAAGCATTTTTATCAAAATAATAATTTGCACTGGAAATTAGAAATAGAATATCTAAGTATGTGAAAGTTTTTGCTTTATGATGACATTCAATTGCTATCCAAATGTTCGTTTACAAAAGATTCCTTAACACTTTTCTCCTTTAGCAATTAGTAACATTTGACAGTAGAAGTTTACAATAGCTATTGTAACTTCAAAGAGAAGACTTCAATCATTATTGAAGTCTTCTCTTATTCTCATAACTGTCGTTTAATCTTCGGCCCGTGAACCGGACCGAAGACTAAATGACAGCTTATCAGTAAGATGCCAGGATACTTTAAGCACATGCTTTCTTTACATCAGTAGTGATGTCGACGACATATAGGCCGATTATTTCATTTTGAATCTGTGGTGACATGTAAGTGTCATGTTTTGCGCCCTTTTCTATATGCTCTTTTAAAATGTGATCACCAGTGTCAATTTTGAGTTTGATCAAGTCTTCAAAAACACCTTCATGGTTTTGCTCTCAAAGGTAAGTCATGTGTACCACAAAAACATCACAGACGAAATTATTGACGCAACAATTTTCTTGTTAGCTTCTATTTTTTGTTGGTGGACAGAAATCAGCTGTAGATAAACGGGTATATTTTCAACAAAACATTTCGCTGCTGTGGCCGCCGATTTGTGCCACTGAGTTGACGTGTGAGATTTAGCGAATTCGTGCATGTTTTTATAGCGAGTAAAGGGCCTCACTATGAAAGAACCCAAAACACCACTTACGTTAGTTGGTGGAAACAACACACAGTAACTGCACAACGCGCCTTTTAATTTCTTGGAATACACCAGCCAAGGAGCATAATCCGCCAACCAGCTGTATTTGAATTTTCTTTTTAATTGCACAGCATCCTTAGCAACGTCATTACTTGGAGTTGGTCAACTTCATTGACCTCATCTCAAAATATGATTTTGAGATGAGGTGATACTAAACGAACGTCCAAGCCAGTGACCCACATCATTATCAAAATACGTTTGATCCTGTGCACCAGAACCATATGGTAGCGAAGATCCACTTTGTTTACTTAAAACAGCAATAGGTGCAGGTGTAGGTGCAGTTGTGCAAGTGACAATATTCTGCTTCGATTTCTCTTCTCCGCCGCTATCACTTTCGCTACTACGTTTAACTGGTTGATTCCTCTGATGTCTCTCTAAAAGAAAATAAATAACTACTACTACACTCCCCAAAACAATTAAAAGAACTAAGAATTTCAGCTTTTTAATGGACTCTCTACACTAGAATCTTCAATCTTAAAAAAAAAAAAAAAACCTTTAATATTTTGTACAAATTTGTTTTATTACTTGCAACTAGCAGAAGTAGCTAGTTGCAAAATCAACCATTTCAAAACCATCTAATTAAACAAAACTTCTGCAAAAGTAGCTAATTACAACTTTCAATCGTTATTTAAAATTATTGGAGTGTGTTATACTTGTTATTATTTCTTTATTTAGTATTGTATGAATTTTCTTAAAATTTCAATAATAAAGACAACATCAAAATTACTATTACAAACAAAAAAACAGTCTTCGCATTTCCTGAAGATTTTCGGTTGCTTTAATTAGATTGTTTTGCAACTCATCGACTCAAATGAAAATAATATAGATACATACCTTTCGTGCTAAAAATGTATCTAATATCCATTTTAGATTGCTATTGTTACAAGATTGCGGTCCAAAAATTAAATAAACGCGCGAAAAATGTTAACGGATTGATTAAAACACTTACAACATACAATAGAAGTAAATACGGCACTTATTAATTTAAAATAACCTAAGAAATCCAGTATTGCACATGGACGCAACGATTTTTATTTGAAACAATAAAACTCGCTCGAGGTATGATCTGAACAAGCTCAAATGCGTCAACTCACTCAACTAACTCACTCTCACTGATTGCAGCGCTTAAATAGGGGACAGGTACAAGAACTTTACCGCTAAATCCGAACCTCGAACATTCTATAATGTATAATCTTTGTCTTACCACAGACTATCCAGACTAGGGGTCCCCAAACTTTTTATCCCATTGACCCCTTTATAGAATATTTGCCTTCTTGTCGACCTCCAGATTAAGTATTTTACAAAACATTAAATAATTTTTTTGCGTTTCTGATATTAAGCAATAAGAAGACCTGCATAACAACCCAACGAAATAATTTATAGTTCCCATATCTTATAAAATTTACCCAACATTAACAGAAAAAGGAGATATTTTTCACTGATTTATAATCTTAAAAAAATAATAGCAAAATTATAGATAGATGGAAATTTACCTATAATTCTTAAACCGTACGTGCCATAATACGTAAAATACACAATTATCTTTGAAAACATAAGTTATATTGGATGAAAAACCTTTTACTGTCATTTTGCGACTACTACTGAATACCTTAAAATATGTTAACATACCTTTTTATAAAAATACTTGATATTAGTGGGATGGATGTGTCTGAAGAGTAGCAGCAAGATTATGGATATTCGGTTGAAAATTGGTAAGTTTTAGTCGCAAATCACCGCGGTTTTCCAAGTTCAATCTGTTCCTCTGTTTTGTCAAAATTGCGTTCGCGTGGCTAAAACCAGCTTCAACCATATATGAAGTTGGGAATGCGAGTAAGAAAGGTTCTGCTTCTGCTCTGAGCTTGGGATATTTAGTGGCAATATTGTTATTGTTCCAAAATTCACTGAGGTTTTTATTTTTAAACAACGCTTTAGCTTCGAGATCTACACATATTTCAATCAGTTCATCTTCTAAGCCAGGTTCACTACCTTCATTATCTATTTTTACATCAAATGGATTAGCAAACCATTCGGGAACATGCATATTCTCCAAGTC